TCATTTTAAACATGCTGGCTGGGAAATTCTAGGAATTAAAGTCCACCCGTCTTAAAAGCACGCAGGTTGGGGGATTCTGGGAGTTGAAGTCCACCCATTTTAAACATGCTGGCTGGGATATTCTGGGAATTAAAGTCCACCCGTCTTAAAAGCACGCTGGCTGGGGGATTCTGGGAGTTGAAGTCCACTCATTTTAAACACGCTGGCTGGGATATTCTGGGAATTAAAGTCCACCCGTCTTAAAAGCACGCCGGCTGGGAAATTCTGGGAATTGGAGTCCACCCATCTTTAAGCACGCTGGCTGGGGAATTCTGGGAGTTGGAGTCCACCCATCTTAAAATTGCCAAGCTTGAGAAACCCTGCCTAATGCAGGGAAAATAGGAGCCAACGCTTTCTAGCTCAGAACCGGCCGTACAGACCAGGACTCGAAATCCAACCCGCAGCCTCAGCCGTGGGTTTGCAGGCGCCCGAAAGATGCACGTCGCCGAGCCCTTGCGGAACACGTTCCCCAAGGTCTCTCAGCCCAGGATCCTGCTTCCAACAGCGGTCGGCCCACGCCTGGTGAAAAGCTGCCTGTTACCCTTGTTTGCAGAGGTGCAATTTGGACTTTTTAGGGGGGGGAGGAGGAGCCGCCGTTGGAAGAGTCTGGCCCTTCGGCACTCCGAACCGGACCCGCGGCTCGCTGTGTGTCCCGAGCGATACCCCCGTGTTTTGCGAAGCGGAACCCGGCCTTGAAAAGACGTGCAACCTCTGGGCAAACCGTCTGGGTTTGAAGTCCCCGGAGGAAAGTGCGTGGCTGCTTCATCAAAGGAGGGCGCCTGACCCACGCGCCCCCCAGGGGAAGGAAGGGTGCGGCTGGCTTCCCAGCCCAAGCCAAGGTCCCACCTTGGCCTGGGGCTTTCGGCAGCATTCCTGGCACGCCGCGTCCAACACGGCCGCAGCCCGGCGTGTTCGGGCAAGGCAGGCTGCCGCCGAGTCTCCCCGCTGGGTGGGCAGGCGTCTGTCGCCCAGCTTCCCAGCTCAGCACTTCTGGGCGCGCGCAGAGGCCTGTGTGGCCCGGCTCTGACACCTCCCTGGGCCCTCACCCAAGGCGGACGTGGGGCCTGCAGGGGGCAGGGCGCTGCGTCCCTTCTCTCGCACCCTGCTTTTCTCCTCCTGGGCAAGGGCAGGGGCTGGCGACGGGGGCTCGGCTGCCAGCTGCGAGAGGCGGGCATTTTCACCGCCTCAGTGGCACTCTTGTCTTCCCTTTAGGCGGCCCAACAGCCGGCCCTGCCTCTGCTCTCCTTCCCCTCGGATTTTAAAAACCGGGAAGGCACCGAGAAGAGGCTGGTAATAGGAACGGCTGGCTGCTCTGTACATGCTCAGAGGCCCCTTCCTCTGGGGAATCCGCAGACCGAGCGCACTAGAGAGGAGAATAAGCGTCTGGAAAGATTTTCTTTTCCCTTCCCTACCTACCTGGGGCAGGGAAGTGGGG